CTACTCCTACTCCTACTCCTACTCCTACTCCTACTCCTACTCCTACTACTACTCCTACTTTTACTTCTTCTACTACTGCTACTACTACTTCTACATTACTACTACTACTACTACTACTACTACTACTACTACTACTACTACTACTACTACTACTACTACTACTACTACTACTACTACTACTACTACCACTACGACTACTACTACTACTACTACTACTACTACTACTACTGGCGAGAAGATTAATAATTCTGGTTTCCTCATACTCTGGTTAATCACCATCATAGACACTCACACTCAGACAAACTCATGCTCAGACCAGGTCGCACCCAAACTCAATCGTACAAAGATTACCCACACGCAGAGTCCATCACACTCCGGCTCGCTCACACTCGCTTCTGCCAAGACTCATTCCAACTCGCAGACACACACACACACATACAAACACACACTCAGTCGAACGAGTTGTTCCTCAGGCATGGCGCTCGGGACGTCCGAAGTCGACCAGGGGTGTTGCACGGGCCCGTTCGCGCCTAGATTGTGGGGATGTCCCTAACGACGATCCGCAACCTTTACACTCTCGCGCCGGCGGACCCGCGGTGCCCGCAAGAGGCGCTCCTCCAACATAGCATAGATAGCTGCGGGCGGCGGCGGCAGGGAGCGAGCAGGGAGAGAAGATTAACAAATGTTTACGGGAAGTAGACGCGCGTCTTTCCAGGGCTTCAAGGTCTCCGCGGTACGGCAGGCATCGCACCTTGGCCACCCAGAGGAGGTCGACCTGGGATGTTCCACGGTCCATTGGAGCCCAGCTTGCGGAGAGCATTCAGGCCAAACGCCGCTGGAAAGTAGATGCATCACTTTTCAGCCCCATGCAAGCACAACACTTAAACCAGCCAAGTGAACGTTTGTTGATTCGGCGTTTCGACATTGGGAGGAAGGGGGGGAGGGGGGGTCTGGCTCTGGACGACCTCTGGTCACTACGGCCATTTGCAGCAGTGTGTCCTGTGGGGGGAGACTCCACCTGCTCGAAACAGGCGCCAAAAAACAGCCAGGACCTACTCCATGGAGGGGGAGCAGGAGGAGGAGGAGGAGGAGGAGGAGGTGGTGGTGGTGGTGGGCGGCCATCAAGGCGGGTACAAAATCAGAAGAGCTCGCCGTCGGAGGACTCAGAACCGTTGTCTGATCTCTCCGCGGCTCTTCGCTGCCCGAGTTCCTTCACCCTCGGAAGCTCCGACTCAAGAACCCCAAAGGCCGCAAGGACGGAAGCTTGCGAGGGCAGTCCTGGACTGAAGAATTCGGCAGCAGTCGAGCCCACGCTCGCCGCCGCCGCTTCACATGAATCCACTAGTCCCTCGATCTCGACCTGTACGGAGGAGGAGGAGGAGGAGGAAGAGGAGGAGGAGGAGGAGGAGGAGGAGGAGGAAGAGAAGGAGGAGGGAGGAGGAGAGGAGGAGGAGGAGGAGGAGGAGGGGGCTGGGCGGCGAGATCCCGCGCCGATCGGCAAAACGACGAATCAGAAAACCATCACCAGGGGGATGTCGACCAGGTTGTTCCACGGGCCCGTTCGCACACCCAGCCGCCGTGGGCGTGCTGGCCCCAGCGGTGCTCGTCGTGGCGCCGGTGTTGGTGCTGGCAGCGGCCGCTGTGCGGCTGACAGTCGCGGCCTGAGCGGCGAGAAGGAGCCCTGACTGATGGGCCGATGCCCCACCACCACTACCATATGTATGAGAGGGTGGAGGGGGAGGAGGTGGGGGAGGAGGAGGAGGAGGAGGAGGAGGAGGAGGAGGAGGAGGAGGAGGAGGAGAAGAGGAGGAGGAGGAGGAGGAGGAGAAAGGAGGAGGAGGAGGAGGCGGAGGCGGAGGAGGAGGAGGAGGAGGAGGGAGGGAGGAGGAGGAGAAAGAGAAAGAGGAAGAGGAAGAAGGAGGAGGAGGAGGAGAAGGAGGAATGGAAGGAGGAGGAGGAGGAGGAGGACCTGCCCATCTTCCCTTCCCCCCGTCCTAGCTATGGTAATGGTGGTGGGAGACTGGCCCATGACGGACTTACGACGGTGCCAAAACGGCGCGGTCCCCGCGCTGCGGTGACGTCGAGATCCCGCGGAAGATCCCACCGCACGGCCTTCCCTGGTCACCATGAACGTCCTCGGAGAGAGGCCCAAGCCTCAAGAGCGTGCGGCCACCCCAAAGCCCTACTGACTCACCACACGCAGACATCCAGCAGTTTCAATTTTTTCGAGGCGTGGGCCCTGGCGGTCTGGACCACTTCCCCCAGGGCCGGCTTTCCGCCACGAGTCGTTCTCTCACGGTCCCGAGGCCTGGCGGGGTAGAGAGGGGGCAGGAGGAGGGGGAGGAGGAGGAGGAGGAGGAGGAGGAGGAGGAGGAGGAGGAGGAGGAGGAGAGGAGGAGGAGGAGGAGGAGGAGGAGGAGGTGGAGGAGGAGGAGGAGGAGGAGGAGGAGGAGGAGGGAGGAGGAGGAGGAGGAGGAGGAGGAGGAGGAGAGGAGGAGGAGGGAGGAGGAGGAGGAGGAGGAGCGAGAGAAGGAGGAGGGAGGAGGAGGAGGAGGAGAAGAGGAAGAGGAGGAGGAGGAGGAGGAGGAGGTGGAGGAGGAGGAAGAAGAAGAGGTGGAGGAGGAGGAGGAGGAGAGAGGAGGAGGAGGAGGGATGGAGGCGCGAGAGAGGAGAGGGGGAGGAGGAGGGAGGAGGAGGAGGGAGGAAGGAGGAGAAGGAGGAAAAAGGAGCGGGGAATGAGGAGGAGGAGGAGGAGAAGGAGGAGGGGGAGGAGGTGGAGGAGGAGGAGGAGGAGGGGGAGGAGGAGGAGGAGAGGGAGGAGGAGGAGGAGGAGGAGGAGGAGGAGGAGGAGGGAGGAGGAGGAGGAGGAGCGACGAGAAGGAGGAGGAGGAGGAGGAGGAGGAGGAGGAGGAGGAGGAGAGCGAGAGAAGGAGGAGGAGGAGGAGGGGAGGAGGAGGAGAGGAGGAGGAGGAGGAGGAGGAGGAGGGAGGCGGAGGAGGAGGAGGAGGAGGAGGAGGAGGAGTGAGGAGGAGGAGGAGGAGGAGGAGGAGAAGGGGGAGGAGAAGGAGAAGGAGAAGGAGGAGGGTAGGAGGAGGAGGAGGAGAAGGAGGGGAGGAGGAGGAGGAGGAGGAAGAAGAAGAAGAGAAGGAGAAGGAGGAGGAGGAGGAGGAGGAGGAGATTCAGGAGGAGGAAGAGGAGGAAGAGGGGAAGGAGGACGAGGAGGAGGAGGAGGAGGATGGCACACTATCTACGGCACGCACTTGACCGACCAGCAGATCGCCTTCAACAACAACCACCACAAGGAAGTCACCACAAAGAACCGACGTGACGGACGACCCGAAGCCTTCGGAGCACAACCAGCGCATAGGTGCGACATCACGCCACTTCCCATTCTTGAGACCTCCTCACAGCAACCAAAGGTTTACGCCCCACTTCGCACCAGACAGCCCACGTCGCATCTCGCTATTCCAAATGCGTCTGCACGGCAAGCGATCGTTTGCATCGATGACGGCCCTGGGATGCACAATGAAATGTTCCAACACGTGACCACGTATTGCATCTCCAGCTTGCGAGGGACCGATTACATCCACATCAGCCTACATCTCGGCCATGACTCACCAACGACGAGAAGGCTACTCAATAGACTAAAGAAGAACATGAAAGAGGGCATCACCGCTGGTATCTATGCATATGAACCTACAACTACATGGTTCGTCGAAAGCGATGACCACGAAGGACGGAAGACAGCATCCAGCAGAAGCTCACTTTACCCCTGGGGATTACCAAGCATGGGCCAGGGAGATTACGACATCATCTCGGCCATGAATGACGACCTCAGGGATATCATCGAGATCTCCAGCATCTCGCAGAATTTCCAGATCCATATGCTCGCCGCCCATCCAAAGGAGGAGCAAATCAACCCGCACAGCATTACGGCGTGGAGGACACCCCAGCTGCAGCATATCGGACGTCACCCGACAGCCAGCAGCACCACCACCACAAGCCCCAAGGGTACTCGAATAAAGGTTTTGGCGACGACCCACGGCTTGGACAATGTGCTCTCCTTTCGGTAGACTCCCAACGGGGCCCCTACAGACTTGCAACAAGCGTCAAGAACCTGCCCAAAAAGCACTGTCCAGGAGCGTTCACAAGTGCCGCGAAGAAGCCCTTCTTACGCTGGAAAGCCCGGAAAGCCGGGTGGGGTGAGCTGTTCTTCTCACCACCGCGCCCTCTCACACAATGGCTTCCGCACGCCGCCCAGAGCGCGACGTTCGGCTCATGCCCCCAGAACGCTCCAGGAGCGCGCCAAAACGGCACCGGAACGCCCCCGAAACAATCCAAGCGGCCTCAAGTCGCCGAACAATCGTTCCAAATCGCCCAAGATGACCTCAAAATTGCCGTCGAGGCCGCCAAGAAGCCCCAAGAGAGCCTCAAGAGGCCCTCCAAGACGGCCATTACAATCAAAAATCGTCCCATTCCCAGAGGAACATGTACACTTCCCGCATGAACGGCGTTTCGAGTTTCACAGCGCCTCAGACTACGCAAATAGCCCCCAACATCGCCCCGAGACAGCCCAACAATCCGCTAAAATCGGCCCAAGACGGCCCAAGATAACCCCAAGACGGCACAAGAGAGCACCAGGACCGCCCAAGAGGCGCCCAAAGGGGGATTCTGCCCCTAGGATCACCTCAGAAGCCACCAACATCCCGCCAATAAGTCCCCCAAGACGCCCCAAGAACCACCCAAGAAGCCCAACAAGAAGCCCCAACGACCCCCAAACGGCCCTTACGGGGCCTCAAGAGGCTTCAACACTGCCTCCAAGAGGTTCCCGAGACGCCTGGCAAAAGAACCCCCAAAGCGCCGCATTGACACCAGGCCCTCGGGCAAACGGCAGACATGAGACTGTATGGGCCGGCGGAATGAGCGGAGCGATTAAATAAAGGCTTTGGCGACGACCCACGGCTTGGACGATGACGGCGAACGCACCGATGTGGTCCCCTTCATCTCACACTACTTAGACAGACTAGTGATAGCTCGGTGGGGCATGACGCCAGCAACCACCACAGCAGCCTCACCACCGAGGACAGCTACAACGCCATCGGGGACATCTGCACCTGCGTGGACATCAACACCCGCGTGGACAACAAAACCACCAGCGGGGACAGCTACACCAGCGCCCGGGGATAACTACACTACCATCCTGGGCAACTACACTACCATCGAGGACAACTACACTACCATCGGGGACAACTACACTACGATCCTGGACAACTACACCACCATCGGGGAGTCCCCCTCCAGGAGGAGGGGGAAAACGACGTCCCCTTCGAGTGAGGAAAGCCCTTAGGCGCGGGCCGCGCCCGCCAGGACCCAGGAGTTTCATCCCTCTCCTTGATCGCCCTGATGAGGCTACCTCCACCCCCCTCCTCCTGTCCTGGCCAGGGTGTCTGCAGCACAGCTGCTTCAGTGCTGATACCCTCGCCCCACGCAGCGGGACTGCGGCGGCGCGGCTGCTGGTGCCATCTGGGGTGGGGGCGTCAAGGTACGGATGTGTCCCTGGCTTCCAGGCTCCCGCCCCCCGCCTCCTGGCCCCCCCCCTTTCTTCGGCCAGGCGGCCTTCCTCCTCCTCTCCCTGGGGGGTCGGGCCTCTTGCCCGTGCCCGCGGTCTCCCTCTGTCCCCCCTCTTCGAGCACCCTGGAGGCATCCTCCCTCTTCCCCCCCCCCTTTCCGCCCTGGCTTTCCTTTTTGCCCTGGGGCTCTGGGGCCCTGGGGCGTCGGGCCCTCGTGCTCCCTCGGCCCTCGTCGGGCCTCCTCGGCCCTCGCTTTTTGTTGCACTGGCCTCTGGAGGCCCCCGTGGTGGAATCTGTGCGCGGCCGCGGCGGGCCCGCCGCGCGCCGCCGACGCGGCAAAGACCGCAACGGCTGCGCCTCCGCGCGGAGGCACAGAGCCGCGTTCGAAAGGCTCGAAAGGAGGAGGAGGAGGAGGAGGAGGAGGTGGACGAGGAGGTGGAGGAGGAGGACGAAGAAGAAGAAGAAAAAGGGAGGAAGGGGAGGAGGAGGAGGAAGGAGGAGGTGACGAGGAGGTGGAGGAGGAGGAGGGATTGAGAAGGAGGAAGAGAGGAAGAGGGGAGGAGGAGGAGGAGGAGGAGGAGGGAGGAGGAGGAGGGAGGAGGAGGAGGAGGAGGAGGAGGAGGAGGCAGGAGGAGGAAGGGGGAGGACGAGGAGGAGGAGGAGGAGGAGGAGGAGGAGGAGGAGGAGGAGTTGGAGCGTCGGAGCTCTGGGGTAGCCCCAAGCCCCTGCTGACGCACCAGCCAAAGTGGTCACCGCCCCCCTCGACGCGCGGCCTCCCGGGGCCTGTGTGTTTTCTGGCCTCGGGGCATCAAGGGTGGATGCTCTAGGCGGGACACGGAGCCCCGGGAAGGGGCCACGCCCTGGAGGAAGCAGATCGTCGCATGTCTGGAAGAGCCTGGACAGATCACACAGTCCGCATCACCCGCGGGGAGTTTCGTACAGTAGGGGCCCCACCACAAGAGACCTTCCACAAGAAACCCAACCATGAGACCCCTGGACGTCCATCGATGTTTGGTGTAGGAGCGCCACGCTTTCCACAGCGAAACCATCGAAACCCAAGACCCCAAGGCACCCTGGAGGCAAGCATGGTGTTTCTTGGCATGGGTCTCCACTGTAGCCCCGCTGGCCTACCACACACACACACACACATACACACACAAACACACACACACACACACGTGGGGATGGGTACCGCCTCCTGCGGGCTTCGCAGCACCCATCCCCACCTGGAGGGCGTGCACTGGGAGAACCCCCTCGCCTGTCCTAGTCAGGGCTGTGGGGAGAAAAGGCGGCCCAGGCATAAGCTTTCGGGGGTCCGCACGGATCTCTTGGAGAAAAGTTGAAGTGCCAAGTGAAGAAGCTCACCGAAGAGGAGGAGGAGGAGGAGCAGGAGGAGGAGGAGGAGGGAGAGGAGGGAGAGGAGGAGGAGGAGGAGGAGGAGGAGGTCGAGATAAAGTCGCACAGAGCGAAGGACATGTGGTGCACCTGCGGTTGGTGTGGCGGCAGGTCTACGTATGGTGCGCCCGCCTCTGGCTGTCGGAAAGGCCTGCGGTGCCCTTCGGTCCCCACCCCGTCCCGTCTGCGGGGACGTTGCACCTCCCCCCCCCCATGTCGCCCCTCTCGGCGGCGCCGACCAAAATCCTCCGGATGGAGGCACCCATCGGATTTCAGTTGAGTTCGGCGGGCAAGGCCCGGCCGCACGAGGACAGCCTGTGCGCGAGCCGCCACGAGAAGGCTCGAGGGCAGAGAACCCTCTCGCTCCGGCTGTGCCTGCCTGGGCTTCCCGTCGGCACAGCCGGATTCCCCTCGAGATCCTGGCTCAAGCGCACCCCCCGAGAGTTCTGAGAAGGGCATGCTTGAGAGAGGAGAAGAAGGAGGACGAAGAGGAGGAGGAGGAGGAGGAGGGCTGACCATGGCCGTGAGCGTCCTGGTCTCGGTGGTGCTCGTCGCAGTGCTGGCGGTCGTGCTGGAGCTGGTCACGGTGAAGCTGACCGTGGCCGTGAGTGTGCTGGTGTCGGTGGTGCTGGTCATGGTGGTGGCGGTCGTGCTGGTGGCAGTGGTAGGACTGGTCTGGCTGGTGCTCGTGGCTGTACTCGTGCTGGTCTTGCTCGTGCTGCTGCTCTGCGTCGTCCGGCTCGTGCTGCTGCTATCGCTCTCAGTCGCCAAACTGGTCTGGCTACTGCTCGTGGCAGTAGGGGTGCTCGTCTTGCTGGTGCTGGTTACCGTGCTGGTGGCTGTGAGCGTGCTGGTACGGCTCGTGCTCGTGGTGCTGGGCGTGCTGGTCATACTGGAACTTGTTCCTGTAGTGCCTGTGATGCTGGTAGCTGTTACGGTGCTGGTCGCAGGAGCGCTGCTCACGCTCGTGCTGCTGCTCTGCGTCGTCCGGCTCGTGCTGCTGCTCTCGCTCGCAGTCGCTAAACTGGTCTGACTACTGCTCGTGGCCGTGGGTGTGCTCGTCCTGCTGGTGCTGGCTACCGTGCTGGTAGCTGTGAGCGTCCTGGTCTTCGTGGTGCTCGTCACAGTGCTGGCGGTCGCGCTGGAGCTGGTCACGGTGAAGCTGACCGTGGCCGTGAGTGTGCTGGTGTCGGTGGTGCTGGTCATGGTGGTGGTGGTCGTGCTGGTGGCAGTGGTAGGACTGGTCTGGCTGGTGCTCGTGGCTGTACTCGTGCTGGTCTTGCTCGTGCTGCTGCTCTGCGTCGTCTGGCTCGTGCTGCTGCTATCGCTCTCAGTCGTCAAACTGGTCTGGCTACTGCTCGTGGCAATAAGGGTGCTCGTCTTGCTGGTGCTGGTTACCGTGCTGGTGGGCTGTGAGCGTGCTGGTACGGCTCGTGCCTCGTGGTGCTGGGCGGCTGGTCATACTGGAACTTGTTCCTGTAGTGCCTGTGATGATGGTAGCTGTTACGGTGCTGGTCGCAGTTGGCGCTGCTCACGCTCGTGCTGCTGCTCTGCGTCTGTCCGGCTCTGCTGATGCTTTTCGCTCGCAGTCGTTAAAACTGGTCTGACTAATGCTCGTGGCCGTAAGGTGTGATCGTCCTGATGCGTTATGCTGGTTACCGGCGGTAGCACTGTGAGCGTCCTGTCTCAGTGGTGCTCCGTCACAGTATGCTGGCGGTCGCGCTGGAGCTGGTCACGGTGAAGTGCGACCGTGCCTGTGAGTGTGCTAGGTTGTTCTCTGTCGGTGTTGCTAGCGTCATTGGTGGTGGTGGTTCGGGCTGGTGGCAGGTGGTAGGACTGGTCTGGCTGGTGCCTCGTGGCTGTACTCGTGCGGTCGGAGATCCTGACAAACTCTGCGTCGTCCAGCTCGTGCTGCTGCTATCGCTCTCAGTCGTCAAACTGGTCTGGCTACTGCTCGTGGCAGTAGAGGTGCTCGTCTTGCTGGTGCTGGTTACCGTGCTGGTGGCTGTGAGCGTGCTGGTACGGCTCGTGCTCGTGGTGCTGGGCGTGCTGGTCATACTGGAACTTGTTCCTGTAGTGCCTGTGATGCTGGTAGCTGTTACGGTGCTGGTCGCAGTGGCGCTGCTCACGCTCGTGCTGCTGCTCTGCGTCGTCCGGCTCGTGCTGCTGCTATCGCTCTCAGTCGTCAAACTGGTCTGGCTACTGCTCGTGGCCGTAGGTGTGCTCGTCCTGCTGATGTTGGTTACCGTGCTGGTAGCTGTGAGCGTCCTGGTCTTCGTGGTGCTCGTCACAGTGCTGGCGGTCGTGCTGGAGCTGGTCACGGTGAAGCTGACCGTGGCCGTGAGTGTGCTGGTGTCGGTGGTAGTGGTCATGGTGGTGGTGGTCGTACTGGTGACAGTGGTAGGGCTGGTCTGGCTGCTGGACGTCCCTGTCAGCGTGCTGGAATAACTGCCACTGCTCACAGTACTGGTAGCCGTGGTCGTAGAGGTCATGGTGCTCGTTGCGCTCACACTGGGTACACTTGTGGTGCTACTCTGCGTCGAACTGGTTGCACTGTCCGTCGTCTCGCTAGTGCTGCTACTTCTGCTGGTGCTGCTCGCAGTCGCGGAGCTCGTTTGGGTATTACTTGTGGCCGTCTGCGTGCTGGAGGCACTGACGCTACTCGCTGTAGTGCCGCTGATCGTGCTGGATTCGGTTTCGGAAGTCACGCTCACGCTGCTACTCGAGCTCACACTGGTCGCGCTGTGCGTTGTCTGGCTCATGCTGCTGCTCTCGCTCGCAGTCGTTAAACTGGTCTGGCTGCTGCTCGTGGCCGTAGGCGTGCTCGTCTTGCTGGAGCTGGTCACGGTGAAGCTGACCGTGACCGTCAGTGTGCTGGTGTCGGTGGTGCTGGTCATGGTGGTGGTGGTGGTCGTGCTGGTGGCAGTGGTAGGACTGGTCTGGCTGGTGCTCGTGGCTGTACTCGTGCTGGTCTTGCTCGTGCTGCTGCTCTGCGTCGTCTGGCTCGTGCTGCTGCTATCGCTCTCAGTCGTCAAACTGGTCTGGCTACTGCTCGTGGCAGTAAGGGTGCTCGTCTTGCTGGTGCTGGTTACCGTGCTGGTGGCTGTGAGCGTGCTGGTACGGCTCGTGCTCGTGGTGCTGGGCGTGCTGGTCATACTGGAACTTGTTCCTGTAGTGCCTGTGATGCTGGTAGCTGTTACGGTGCTGGTCGCAGTGGCGCTGCTCACGCTCGTGCTGCTGCTCTGCGTCGTCCGGCTCGTGCTGCTGCTTTCGCTCGCAGTCGTTAAACTGGTCTGACTACTGCTCGTGGCCGTAGGTGTGCTCGTCCTGCTGGTGCTGGTTACCGTGCTGGTAGCTGTGAGCGTCCTGGTCTCAGTGGTGCTCGTCACAGTGCTGGCGGTCGCGCTGGAGCTGGTCACGGTGAAGCTGACCGTGGCCGTGGGTGTGATGGTCTCGGTGGTAGTGGTCATGGTGGTGGTGGTCGTACTGGTGACAGTGGTCGGACTGGTCTGGCTGCTGGACGTCCCTGTCAGCGTGCTGGACTCACTGCCACTACTCACAGTACTGGTGGCCGTGGTCGTAGAGGTCATGGTGCTCGTTGCGCTCACACTGGCTACACTTGTGGTGCTACTCTGCGTCGAACTGGTTGCACTGTCCGTCGTCTCGCTAGTGCTGCTACTTCTGCTGATGCTGCTCGCAGTCGCGGAGCTCGTTTGGGTATTACTTGTGGCCGTCTGCGTGCTGGAGGCACTGACGCTACTCGCTGTAGTGCCGCTGATTGTGCTGGATTCGGTTTCGGAAGTCACGCTCACGCTGCTACTCGAGCTCACACTGGTCGCGCTGTGCGTTGTCTGGCTCATGCTGCTGCTCTCGCTCGCAGTCGTTAAACTGGTCTGGCTGCTGCTCGTGGCCGTAGGCGTGCTCGTCTTGCTGGTGCTAGTCACCGTGTCAGTGGACGTTCCTGTCAGCGTGCTGGACTCACTGCCACTGCTCACAGTACTGGTGTCCGTGTTCGTAAAGGTAGTAATGCTCGTTGAGCTCACAGTGGTGACCGTCGTCGTGGAGGATACGGAACTTGTAGCACTCACACTGGTTATACTCGTGCTGCTACTCTGCGTCGAGCTAGTTACACTGTCCGTCGTCTCGCTAGTGCTGCTACTTCTGCTGGTGCTGCTCGCAGTCGCGGAGCTCGTTTGGGTATTACTTGTGGCCGTCTGCGTGCTGGAGGCACTGACGCTACTCGCTGTAGTGCCGCTGATCGTGCTGGATTCAGACGTGGTAGTCACGCTCACGCTGCTACTCCAACTCACACTGGTCGCACTCTGCGATGTCCCGCTCGTCCCAGTCTGGCTGCTGGACGTTCCTGTCAGCGTGCTGGACTCACTGCCACTGCTCACAGTACTGGTGACCATGGACGTAGAGGTCATGGTGCTCGTTGCACTCACACTGATGGCCGTGGTCGTGTAGGACACGGAACTTGTCGCACTCACACTGGTTATACTCATGCTGCTACTCTGCGACGAGCTGGTTACACTGTCCGTCGTCTCGCTAGTGCTGCTACTTCTGCTGGTGCTGCTCGGAGTCGTGGAGCTCGTCGTGGTATCACTGGTGATCGTGAGCGTGCTGGTCGCACTGACGCTACTCGCCGTCGTGTCGCTGAACGTGTTGGATTCAGTCTGGGAAGTCACGCTCACGCTGCTACTCGAGCTCACACTGGTCTCGCTGTGCGTTGTCCGGCTCATGCTGCTGCTCTCGCTTTGAGTCGTCAAACTTGTCTGACTACTACTGGTGGCCGTGGGTGTGCTCGTCTTGCTGGTGCTAGTCACCGTGTCAGTGGACGTTCCTGTCAGCGTACTGGACTCACTGCCACTGCTCACAGTACTGGTGTCCGTGTTCGTAAAGGTAGTAATGCTCGTTGAGCTCACAGTGGTGACCGTCGTCTTGGAGGATACGGAACTTGTCGCACTCACACTGGTTATACTCGTGCTGCTACTCTGCGACGAGCTGGTTACACTGTCCGTCGTCTCGCTAGTGCTGCTACTTCTGGTGGTGCTGCTCGCAGTCGCAGAGCTCGTTGGGGTATTGCTTGTGGCCGTCTGCGTGCTGGTCATACTGACAATTGTTGCCGTAGTGCCGCTGGTCGTGCTGGATTCAGACGTGGTAGACACGCTCATGCTGCTACTCCAACTCACACTGGTTACGCTCTGCGTTGTCCAGCTCGTCCCAGTCTGGCTGCTGGACGTTCCTGTCAGCGTGCTGGACTCACTGCCACTGCTCACACTACTGGTGGCCGTGGTCGTAAAGGTGATAGTGCTCGTTGAGCTCACAGTGGTGGCCGTCGTCGTGGAGGATACGGAACTTGTAGCACTCACACTGGTTATACTCGTGCTGCTACTCTGCGTCGAGCTAGTTACACTGTCCGTCGTCTCGCTAGTGCTGCTACTTCTGCTGGTGCTGCTCGCAGTCGCAGAGCTCGTTGGGGTATTGCTTGTGACCGTCAGCGTGCTGGAGGCACTGACGGTAGTTGCCGTAGTGCCACTGGTCGTGCTGGATTCAGACGTGGCAGTTACGCTCACGCTGCTACTCCAACTCACACTGGTTACGCTCTGCGTTGTCCAGCTCGTCCCAGTCAGGCTGCTGGACGTTCCTGTCAGCGTGCTGGACTCACTGCCACTGCTCACACTACTGGTGGCCGTGGTCGTAAAGGTAATAGTGCTCGTTGAGCTCACAATGGTGGCCGTCGTCGTGGAGGATACGGAACTTGTAGCACTCACACTGGTTATACTCGTGCTGCTACTCTGCGTCGAGCTGGTTACACTGTCCGTCGTCTCGCTAGTGCTGCTACTTCTGCTGGTGCTGCTCTCAGTGGCAGAGCTCGTCTGGGTATCACTGGTAGCCGTGTGAGTGCTGGTCGCACTGATGCTACTCGCCGTCGTGTCGCTGAACGTGCTGGAGTCAGTCTGGGAAGTCACGCTCACGCTGCTACTCCAACTCACACTGGTCGCGCTTTGAGTTGTCTGGCTCGTGCTGCTGCTCTCGCTCTTAGACGTCAAGCTTGTCTGGCTACTGCTGGTGGCCGTGGGTGTGCTCGTCGTGCTGGTGCTAGTTGCTGTGCTGGTGGCTGTGAGCGTACGTGTACGGCTCATGCTCGTGGCTGAGATCGTGCTGGTCATACTGGAGCTTGTACTTGTAGTGGCGGTTGTGCCGGTAGCTGTTACGGTGCTGGTCGCACTCACACTGCTCACGCTCGTGCTGCTGCTCGTCGTTGTCCGGCTCGTGCTACTACTCTTGCTCTCAGTCGTCAAACTGGAGCTTGTCTGGCTCTTGCTAGTCGTGCTGGATCCCGTCGAAGTAGTCACGCTGACACTGCTACTCCGAGTCGAACTGGTTGCGCTCCGCGTCGTGGAGCTGGTGCCTGTTCTCTCCTCCTTCTCCCCACGCCATTCCTCCTCCTTCTCCCCCACTCCCTCCTCCCTCCTCCCTCCTCCCTCCTCCCTCCTCCCTCCTGCCTCCTCCCTCCTCCACCTCCTCCTCCTCCTCCTCCTCCTCCTCCTCCGCCTCCTCCGTATCTCCCCACATCCTCATCCCCCTCCTCCTCCTCCTCCTCCTCCTCCCCCCTCCTCCTCCTCCTCCTCCTCCTCCTCCTCCTCCTCCTCCTCCCGAGCGTGGCAGGGTCAGTGACTTCGGACCACTGCATAGCAAGCTCGCGGCAGCCCCCTGACCCGCTGACTCGGCCGGATCAGCGCCCCAGCGGAACCCAGCTTCTCGTCTCCCCCCCCCCCCTGCCTGTCTCAACTGCACCTGCACCACACTCCTGCTCCGGGGCAGTCATCGCCGTCCAGTCGTCGTCCCTCGTCGTCGCCGCCGGCTCGCCCCGTGCCCCCGGGCGGCGGAGGCGAGTCGCCGCTCGGAGCACGGAGCAGCAGGCTGCGCAGGACCGGCAGCAAGCAACAGGGGCAATCAGACGCAAGCGGCAAGACGAGCGACGAGGGCATCTCGAGGCGCGGCCCCCAGCGCAAACGAAACGAAAAGGGGGCGGACCTCGGAAATCGGCCACCCTCGGACGGATGCGATTCTCTGCTGCCCTTCCGCGCCGAGCAGAAGCGATCACATGAGCCTCACCGATGTGAAAGGGGGGTCGGGCTTTGCCCGGGCCTGTCCCTGGGAGGGCAAGCTCGGGGGCCACCTGTTGACCAAAGCCCGCACGTCTGCTGCAGGGGGGGCGCTGACCATACACCTGCGCCGATCCTGGCCAGGCTCGGCCTGGCCAGCCTCGGTGCAGGTGGCATAGAGGGGAAAGGAAACTGCGTGTTGTCCAGCGCGGGCCCCAAGCAGCATGCTGTTGCACAGTGGACGTGCGAGCGATGTGATACAGTCTGAGTGGTGCAAGCTGCGTGGTGCAACCTCGACGCGGACCCCCCGAGCGCAGTGGGCGGCAACGAGGCGGCAACGAGGCGACGACGGGCGGCGACGCGGCGAAACCCGACGAACCCCACGAGAGGGCGGCAACGAGGAGGGAACAGTCGGCGACGCGGCGAAACAGGGGGGCGGCAACGAGGCGGCAACGGGCGGCGAAGCCTCGACGGACATCCCCGAGTGGACGGCAACGAGCGGCAACGAGGCGGCAAAACCTCGACGGACCCCCCCAAGTGGGCTGCAATGAGGCGGCAACGAGGCGGTAACGGGCGGCGACGCGGTGAAGCTTCGACGGGCCCGCCCAATTCCCCAGCAACCGAGAGGCGTCGTCATGAGGGTCCCAGCGCCGACCCGAGAAATGCGCGGTGAGCTTCGAAGGTTTGCAGCTGGACCTCGGACGGAAGAACATCCTTCAAGAACACGAGACCCTCCGCCGGCCAAACCACACGGGACATCCAAGGGTACCCTTCCCAGGATGCACAGGAGCACCCAGCAAGCACGAACACCCTTAGGGTACCCTGCCCGAACCGACCTCGATCCGATATCTCGGTCCAACTGTACAGGAGGGGCCCGTCCACAAGAAACCTCACACAAGAAACCCAACCCCGAGACCCCAGGACGTCCATCGAGGTGCGAAACCACAGACGCCCAGGAAGCCCAGGGGCACCCTGGAGGCAAGCAGGGCGTCTCCTGGCATGGGTCTCCACCGCATGCGCCTCGCCGCGCGCTCTCCCTCGACGTGCAGCTGACGCCCTCGCCCTCGCCCACGCTCCGTGCGCACCTCGCTCGGGAGTGGCGCCCCGCGCGGGCACGGCACGCGGCTCGCTCGGCGGCGGCGGGGCTGCGCGCGAGCGGACGCGGAATGCCGGCCTCGCCCAAGCGCCGCGCAGCGTGTGAGCCGAAACGGCAGCGCTGCGTCAGCGCGGCGCATGCTTCGTCTGCACCGCGCCCACCGGAAGCTCCCGCCGCTGCGTGGCCCGTGCAATCTTCCCCTTCGCCGGATCGTCGGAAGCGGGGCGGCGCGCGACCGCCTTCCGTCTGCGAGGCGGGAGTGCGCTGCAATCCCAAGATCTGGCCGTTCCAGCAGGCATTCTTACGCTGCGGGAGGCAGGGCAGGAATGGGGGGGGACCCTCTGACTCCCTCGACCTGGCCGACTTGGCTCCTGCTCTACTCCTGCTGTATTCTGCTCAACCCCTACTCTGCTCCTGGTCTACTCTACTCCTATTATACTCTTCTCGATGTTGCTCTAGTATACTCGACTCTCCCCTACTCTACTCTACTCCTTGTCTTTCCTACTATAGTATACTAACAAGCTTTCTTCTAATATACCCTACTCTACTCTAGCATAAGAAAAGCTGCGGGTAGCAGAGGAAGCCGTGTGGATAGCTTGGACGAAGCTGTGCGGACAACAAAGCCAGCCATGCTGATAGCTCGACGAACCCTAACCTACTCTACTCTACTCAACCGTACTCATACAATCATATACTCCACTCTACTTTATGATTATTCTACGCTACTCTACTCTACTCATACTCTACTCTGATCCACTCTACTCTGATTCACTCTCCTCGACTCTACTCTGCTCTACTCTACTCTAGCAGACTAAGCCATGCGAATTGCAGAAGCAATGCGGATAGATTGGACACAGCCATGCGGATAGCAGAGAAAGCCATGCGGATAGTTTGAAAGTTGCAAGGGCTAGTTGGGGGGGGCAGTGGACCAGTTCTCGATGGATGGGGTCAGGACTCCTGCATGCGCAAGCCTATCTGGAAGATGCTCATCGTCGGACTCATCATCACCACCAAGACCACCACCACCATCAACATAATCATCACCATCACCATCACCAACAACAACAACAACAACAACAATCATTTAAGACTGGGGACACTCCGTTCTCACCAGTGCCAGGGTTTTCATAGGAGGCGGGCAATACCCCCACTTTGTGGGGGGGCCGGCTCAAGCTCTACCAAGTTTCCAAACGACTCTTCGCCACCACCCACACCCAGCTTCCCGCCCTATGACGCTCGGACACTTCACTTCGTGGCCTGCGGACGACCTTGGCTACTATTCAGGGCCCCGCGGCCGACGACGACGGCGTGCGCGCGCGAAGAAAAAACGAATGTGTCCCGCATGGTATTATTTGACAGGGATGATGGCCCTGGCAGGTGCGCAACCGTTGTCGCAGAAGTTCGAAAAAGTTGCTCGCAAAAGCCCGTTTGACAGAAATGTTTAAAAAGTGTTGGGTTTCCTACGAATCCGCAAGAGCGCGCGGGATGAGATTTTGACATTTTTTTGTTGAAAAACCATTGGTTTTTTGATGTTTTTATGTTAAAATCGTTCCGAACACTAAGTTTTGGAAGGATTTCGTCTTGCGCGCGCGAATGTCCACTTTACCTTATTTTTTGCAAGGGATTCTTGAAATTTGATTATATTAGAACAAGAAATGTCATTTTCTATTGTTTTTTGCAAGGGAAAGCGGATTACAACAAAACAACCGGATCCTGTACACACCCTCTTTTCTGAGGCTTCCTCACGAAAATGATGAAAATGTAGCTGCGGCCTAGGCGGCGCAGGGGGGGCGCGCACCAGGGGGCCCAACAATAATTATTCTTTATAGAATAAATAATGTTCAACAACAACAACAACAACAACACACAACAACAACAACAACAACAATCATTTTACCCGAACGCGTGGTGTTCTCCCCAGTGCCAGGGTTTTCATACGACACCAGGCAATACCCCCACTTCGTGGGGGGGCATTACAAGCTCTACCAAATATCCAAACGACTCTTCGCGACCACCCAAACCCAGCTTCCCGCCCTATGACGTTGGGACACTTCACTTCGTGGCGTGCGGACGACCGTGGCTACTACACTGGCGTGGGGTACACACCCACAGAACTTGGTCACTTATTCGGGGCGCGCATGTGCCCAGCATGGTGCAATTGTGCCATACAATACATAATACAGAGAGACGAATGTGTCCCGCATGGTATTATTTGACAGGGATGATGGCCCTGGCAGGTGCGCAACCGTTGTCGCAGAAGTTCGAAAAAGTTGCTCGCAAAAGCCCGTTTGACAGAAATGTTTAAAAAGTGTTGGGTTTCCTACGAATCCGCAAGAGCGCGCGGGATGAGATTTTGACATTTTTTTGTTGAAAAACCATTGGTTTTTTGATGTTTTTATGTTAAAATCGCTCCGAACACTAAGCTTTTGGAAGGATTTCGTCTTGCGCGCGCGAATGTCCACTTTACCTTATTTTTTGCAAGGGATTCTTGAAATTTGATTATATTAGAACAAGAAATGTCATTTTATATTGTTTTTTGCAAGGGAAAGCGGATTACAACAAAACAACCGGATCTTGATCACCTCGAATTACCTGAGGCTTCCTCACGAAAATGATGAAAACGTGGCTGCGGCCTAGGCGCGGCGGGGGGGGCGCGCACCAGGGGGCCCAACAATAATTATTCTTTAGAATTAATAATGTTCAACAACAACAACAACACCTGCACTGACATCATCCTCTCATCATCATCGTACTACTCATATGCCTCACAATCATCAGACTAAAGCGGTGTCACCGGTTGATGATGTGGTCGTGCTGCTCGTCGTGGTGACGGTTGACCATGTAGCTGTCGAAGTCTCGCTCCGTGTGCTCAACGTGGTGCTGCTGGAAGGAGTATCGCTGGTCACAGAGGTGCTGCTGGAGCCGCTTGTGGAAGTGCGCGTGCCGGTGCTGGTGCCGCTCGTCAACGAGGCGGTGCTGCTCTGGCTGGTGCTGCTGGGCGTCGTGGTGCTGGTCGCCGTGGTGATAGTCGATGTGGTGCCTGTACTGGTCCACGTGCCAGATGTGGACGTGCTCGTGACGGAGGAGCTCTGCGACGTCGAGGAAGTGCTGCTCGTGCTATAGCCAAAACAAGCACAGGGGCAGTACGTAGCTGTGGCCTCCCGGCTGCAGTCCACCAGGTGGCAGAAGAACATGTCCTGGCAGGTTGTCGTGGAGGACGAAGTGCTTGTCGCAGAGTCGGTCAACGAAATCGTGCTGCTGCTCGTCACGCTAATACTTGTTGCACTGGTGCTCGTTGCACTAAGGCTTGTCCGACTGGTAGTACTTGCCGTCTGGCTGCTGGTCCCCGTGGAAGTCACGGACGTGATGGTGGTAAAACTACTGAGCGAGGTCACGCTGGTGCTAGTTACACTGGTGCTGGTTTCACTGGTGGTCGTCCGGCTTGAGCTACCTGACGTCTGGCTGCTGGTCCCCGAGGCAGACGTCTTCGTGAGAGTAGCAGAGGTGCTCAACGAGGTCATGCTTGTGCTTGTGATCGTCGTGGAGGTCACACTTGTACTCGTCCAACTCGTTGTGCTGGTAGTCTGAGTGCTGGTCCCCGTGGTAGACGTGGACGTGCTGGTGGCAGACGTAGTGATCGACGTCACACTTGTGCTCGTCAAACTTGTAGTACTTGCCGTCTGGCTGCTGGTCCCTGTCGCAGACGTCGTCGTGGCAGTAGCAGTGGCGCTGGTCGAGCTCGTGGTGCTGACAGTTTGGGTGCTGGTCCCCGTGGTAGACGTGGACGTGCTGGTGGCAGACGTAGTGATCGACGTCACACTGGAGCTCGTCAAACTTGTAGTGCTTGCCGTTTGGGTGCTGGTTCCTGTAGCAGACGTCGTCGTGGCTGTAGCAGAGGTGCTCAGCGAGGTCATGCTTGTGCTTGTGATCGTCACACTTGTACTCGTCCAACTCGTTGTCCTGGTAGTCTGAGTGCTGGTCCCCGTGTTAGACGTGGACGTGCTGGTGGCAGACTTGGTAATTGACGTCACACTGGTGCTGCTGGCACTGGTGGTTGTCTTGCTCGTTGTGCTGACCGTGTGTGTGCTGGTCCATGTGGACGACGTGCTAGTAGAAACTGTGCTGAGCGAGGTTACACTAGAGCTAGTGAGCGACATGCTGGTTGCGCTTATACTCGTCCTACTCGTGAGGGTAAGCGTAAGAGAACTGGTCCCCGTGGCAGTTGTGGACGTGCTGGTGGCAGACGTGGTGATAGACGTCGCGCTGGTGCTACTTGCACTGGTGCTCGTCTGACTTGTCGTACTTGCAGTGTGGCTACTGGTCGCCGTGGCGGACGTTGTCGCGGTGGAGGCAGAGCTGCTCAACGAGGTCATGCTTGTGCTTGTGATCGTCGTAGCGGTCACGCTTGTACTTGTCCAACTTGTGAAGCTGGCAGTCTGGGTGCTAGAACCCGTGGTAGACGTGGACGTGCTGGTGGCAGACGTAGTGATCGACGTCACACTGGTGCTAGTCAAACTTGTGCTACTTGCCGTCTGGCTGCTGGTCCCTGTCGCAGACGTCGTCGTGGCAGTACCAGAGGTGCTCAACGAGGTGATGCTTGTGCTTGTGGTCCCCGTGCTGGTCACAGTGGCGCTCGTCAAGCTCGTGGTGCTGACAGTTTGGGTGCTGGTCCCAGTGGCACTCGTGGACGTGCTGGTGGCAGACTTGGTGATCGACGTCGCACTGATGCTACTTGCACTGGTGCTCGTCAAACTTGTAGTACTTGCCGTCTGGCTACTAGACTCCGTGAGGGAAGTAGTCGAGGAAGTGGCAGTGGTGCTCAGCGAGGTCATGCTTGTGCTTGTGATCGTCGTGGAGGTCACACTTGTACTGGTCCAACTCGTTGTGCTGATAGTCTGAGTGCTGGTCCCCGTGGTAAACGTGGACGTGCTGGTGGCAGACGTAGTGATCGACGTCACACTTGTGCTCGTCAAACTTGTAGTACTTGCCGTCTGGCTGCTGGTCCCTGTCGCAGACGTCGTCGTGGCAGTAGCAGTGGCGCTCGTCGAGCTCGTGGTGCTGACAGTTTGGGTGCTGGTCCCCGTGGTAGACGTGGACGTGCTGGTGGCAGACGTAGTGATCGACGTCACACTGGAGCTCGTCAAACTTGTAGTGCTTGCCGTCTGGGTGCTGGTTCCTGTCGCAGACGTCGTCGTGGCAGTAGCAGTGGTGCTCAGCGAGGTCATGCTTGTGCTTGTGATCGTCGTGGAGGTCACACTAGTACTCGTCCTGCTCGTGGTGCTGGTAGTCTCAGTGCTGGTCCCCGTGGCAGACGTGGACGTGCTCAACGACGACAGGCTTGTACTTGTGGTCATCGTGACTGTCCGCCAACGCCACTGCGCAGCGCTTCCGGGCTATCACAAATCAAGCTCTCATATCGAGCAGCACGTTTACGCGTGAGTGTTGGCGCGTGGCCTGCAGAACTGCTCGGTGTAATGCATTGGTGCTGCAAGTTCCTCGAGAATCCGCCGGCCCCCTTGTGGGGCCACCAGGCTGTAGGACCAAGCTTTGCTGTTCCCTGCACCAGCTCCAGTTTCCAGTTTCCACTGTTACAGTTCTGCTTCTTGCTGCTTACTGTTCCTTGTTGATGGACCGCGCGAGGGGGGGAGCCGAGAAGGAACCTAGTTACCACGCCCGAATCGGGTGGTCTGAATTCCTGGGGGGCGTGGGACACGCAAAAATACATGAAACCCGCGCCCCCGAGACCATAAACCCTGGTATATTACTCAATGTTCGAGTCCCCGATTCCATAAACCCTCCCGAATTAAACAATATTCGGTTCCCCGAAACCATAAACCCTCGCAAAATACACCATAATCGTGTCCCCGAAGCCATAAACCCTTGTAAATTGCACAATGTTTGCGTCCCCGAGGCCACAAACGCTTGCAAATCACGCGATGCTCGCGTCCCCGAAGCCATAAACCATGTTGTAAACTGCGCAAGACTCGCGTCTCCGAAGCCATAAACCTGCGTAAATGACGCAATAGTTACGACCCCGAAGCCATAAACCTGTTTAAATTATACAATAATCGCATGTCCGAAGCCACAAACCCTCGTACAGTACGCAAGACTCGGGTCTCCGAAGCCACAAACCAGCGTAAATTACACTATAGCTGCGACCCCGAAGCCATAAACCCTTGTATAAGTTACGCGCTATTCGCGTATCCGACACCATAAACCCTCGAAATACAAGACCGAACTCAACAATGTCATCAGAATCTCAATGTGTCATGCCGATTGCTCATCGTCTTCGCGTGTGAAGTCCCGACGCTGCTTCACGGCAGCGCCAAGGCCTCATGACTTCGCTCGTGCCTTGCCCACTATCCGAAGGGGGGGGCCGGCGGCAGGGGGCGAAGCCCTTACGGCTAGAGAACTTGGCGAACGCGCGAAGCCCCGAGGCCCGAATCAACCCGTCAACATGACCCGGCCACGCGTCCCCAATCAACGTCGCCTGGGCCTCCCCGAAACAAGACATTCCGCACTCCTCCTCCTCCTCCTCCTCCTCCTCCTCCTCCTCCTCCTCCTCCTCCTCCTCCTCCTCCTCCTCCTCCTCCACCTCTCCTCCTCCTCCTCCTCCTCCTCCTCCTCCTCCTCCTCCTCCTCCTCCTCCTCCTCCTCCTCCTCCTCCTCCTCCTCCT